AGTAAGATTGAGGTGTATTTGCGTGTACTCAGCATGAGTGTAAAGTTTTAGAAGAGTTTAGAGAATGTTAACCCTGTATGTCTCATTTGTAGAGGGCTCAGGCTGCTCTGCAAGCTGTCAGTGCAATGCATTCTGGGAATATGACTCTCTCTGGGACTGCGACAGCCAGTGATGGTGGAATGATGCCCGGACAGAGTCCTGTGCTTCGTTTAATCGTAGAGAATCTCTACTACCCAGTGTCTCTAGAAGTGCTACACCAGGTAAAACTACACTATACAGAAATGTTATGATTCTTTCATATAACGCTTGTCATTGATCTCAAATAGGTCTGGGAATTGGCACTGATTCCTGTTTCAATTCTGATTCAAAAGCCTTTGATTCAATTTTTACTTGATACCAACTTTCATTTTGATATTTGGGAATATTTTTATTACAATATCAGCATGCTTTTTCAATTACCTTTGCACTTGATCGGTATATCAAGTAATATAATGACACGCAGAGAAAAAAAGCCAGTCCTTTTTTGCTTTCCGCAATATATCAAGCAGGATATTTCCGTTGTAGTCTCAAATACTTGTTACCTTATTTGTTTGCTTGCACTGTTTTCACTGTTTACTAGGGCTGTGCGATATTGAAGAAAAATGCGATATGCGATAACTCATTAAATAATGCGATATTCAATATGCGATACGATAATGCTTAAAGTGCCACATGCTCAGATGAAACAGTTTTACTCAGCTGTTGCTGAGTCAGTTCTGTGAACTTCGATAACTATCGTGTCATATATATATGGTTATTTGTATGCACGTATGTTTGTACCAAGAGTTCCTGTAAAACCACAACAAATTCCTTGTGTTTGCGCACACTTAAGTGGTGAATAAAGCTCATTCTGATTCTGATTCTAATAAGAAAGCACCCCTACAACAACTTCTGAAAGTGAACGGTAGTGTTTTACTCAAGCATTACATAAAATGTCATTTTAACATTAGTGTAATCATTTTAAAATGAGTTTAGGAACTGAATAATAAAAAGGAAAAATAAAAAACTGCGTAGTTTTTACTCTTTGAATGCACTGATTCTTATTTAAGCTACAAAAGTTATTTGGGTAAAAGCAGTGAGTGATTTTCTCTTTGTCTTTTGTTCATGGCCCCAAATATTGCAAGCTGTAGCGATATGCATATTGCGATATGTACATTTGCGATATTTCGATAATTTCGATATATTGCACAGCCCTACTGTTTACCATGTACACTTCCTGCTTTATCACCTAGTGATCTTGTAAAACTACCTTTCAACAAGGTCAAAGTGGCACAAAATGCTTGTGTTCAGAGGTTTCATGTAGCCCAGTCGTGTGGAACGCAAAAGTGTTGGAAACCAGCATCTTAAACAAAATGTCATTTTAACATTAGTGTAATCATTTTAACATGAGTTTAGGAACTGAATAATAAAAAGGAAAAATAAAAAACTGCGTAGTTTTTACTCTTTGAATGCACTGATTCTTATTTAAGCTACAAAAGTTATTTGGGTAAAAGCAGTGAGTGATTTTCTCTTTGTCTTTTGTTCATGGCCCCAAATATTGCAAGCTGTTGCGATATGCATATTGCGATATGTACATTTGCGATATTTCGATATATTGCACAGCCCTACTGTTTACCATGTACACTTCCTGCTTTATCACCTAGTGATCTTGTAAAATTACCTTTCAACAAGGTCAAAGTGGCACAAAATGCTTGTGTTCAGAGGTTTCATGTAGCCCAGTCGTGTGGAACGCAAAAGTGTTGGAAACCAGCATCTTAAACCAGCCTGAGGTTGTTTACTGGTTTCAGCGGGATAAAAGGCTGGTTTCCACTGGAGACTGGTCAAGTTTATTGGTTTTTATTGGGATTCTGGCCACTTATCAGTTGGCTGACCATCTAAACCAGCTCAAAACCACCTTGGTCAGGTTGGGTGACCAGCTAGACTAAAGAAGAGCAAACCACCTTGGGCTGGTTTAAACTAGACGCTCTTACATGTCTGTTTTTAATGTTCTTGTCTTCTCCTTAATTTAGATCTTCTCAAAATTTGGAACGGTCCTGAAGATCATTACCTTCACCAAGAACAACCAGTTCCAGGCCTTGCTACAATATGCAGATCCAATGAACGCACATCACGCCAAAATGGTCAGTACTGAAATATAACCCACAAAATGCTCTTGTTATCTCATTGTGGGATGAATTGGTTTGGCAACCAGCTTTAGTACACGCTAGTTTATTTCCTCAGGCTGTCTGTGGAGACAGATGGTTTATCTGTGATCAGCTCTGCTTCCTAATCGCTTGGCCGCGCCGTATAATCAAAGCTTCACCATCAATCACGAGGCTGCTCACACCTGTCCTCCATCACCTCATTTTTGGTGCTCTCTGGTATTTTTTGGTGCAGAGCCGAAAATTTGTCAAGCAACAGGAAGACGGCAGGAAAACCAGCTCCCAGTAGACCGCACAAATCAAACCACCCCTGTAATTAATATGTCACCGTTGAGGTTATCTAATGAATGCCAATGCAGCTCACCAGGGGAAAAAGAGCTAGCAAGTAATTACTCCTCTGGTCTGAGGGTGTTATCTATTGTGCGGCTGCCATGTTGCATTGCCTCCTTGCACAAAGAGAGTATTTGTTAGTGTAACAGGAGGGGTGGGGACAGGGGTCTTTTTTTAAACGGGCGATGAAGCCCCCCTTCCTCGTTTAAAATTGCTGCAAAAAAGGAACTGTTGTTCACAAATGCACCTTACTTTCTCAGCATCTTTGGCTGGAAAAGCGCAAGTGATTATCAATTGCAGAAATGTAACACTAAGTACATTTTTACATTATATGAAAATTACATACAGTAGCGTTCAAAAGTTTAATTACTGGATAGTTTTATTCAGCAAAGATGCATTACATTGATCAAAAGTGACAGTAAAGACATGTTACAAACTATTTTTATTTCAAATAAATGATGTTCATCAACAGTGCTGGATAGTAACTGATTGCATATAATCTGGATTACATAATCAGGTTCCAAAAATTAAGTATTGATAATTAGGTTAGATTACATTTTAAAATATTTGTAATCAGACTACTTACATGATTACATATTATTCACATGGTCACATGACATTGAGGTAAACTGGTCTAATATTTCAAGTGTTTTATTTTGATTGTTGTAATTTTGAAAATAATTATTTTAACTTGACGTTTTTCAATTCATTATTAGCTTTTCATTCAATTCACAAAGCCACTGCTGTTGCTTTACAAACCCCAATTTGGGAAACTTTGACATAATATAATGTGTAATGCACTTCATGATGTTAATCCGCTTGTTAAGTCTGATGTCACGTGTCACCGCTTCCGTGTCCAAACGCTCTATCAGATACCACGAGAAAACAACAAAAGGTGCTAATATACACTCACAATGTGATATAATACTACCAAAAAAATTATAATCCTAACCTTTAACTCCATACCGAAATCCCAGATAGCCAGACAATGAAAATATAAATAAATAAATATAAAAATTATTTGTGTTTGGGACGCTGTGAGCATGGAGACTGTAGTGTAGACCATACGTTTGAAAACGTTTAGCTTAAATGTTTAATATGACTAAACAGTGCTCATAAACGGCTGCTGAGGTAGTATTCTCAAGTGAAGCGAGTTGAGGCTTGGACCCGGAAACAGCGCTTCTTATGTCACCACTTAACAACCGAATAACAGCAAATGGAATATATTTTCCTTCTTTTTGTATTTTTATGTCAATATGATACAAGATTATCCTTTTTAAATCAATGTGATAAATGAGTTAGGTCAAAAGTAATCAAAAAGTAGTCTGATTATATAAAATGTGTAATGATTACGTTACTAACTACAATTTTTGTCATGTAATTTGGAATCAGTAACAAACTACAATTTGTAAGTAATCTACCCAAAACTGTTTATCAAAAAAAAGGTGTATCACAGTTTCTAGAAAAATATGAAGCAGCACAACTGTTTTCAGCATTGATAATAATCAGAAATGTTTCTTGAGCAGAAAATCAGCATATTACAATGATTTCTGAAGGATCATGTGACACCAAAGACTGGAGTAATGATGCTGAAAATTCAGCTTTTATCACAGAAATAAATTACATTTTACAATATATTTACATAGCAAACTATTTAAATTGTAAAAAAAAAATATATATATATATATACTGTTTTTACTGTATTTTTGATCAAACAAAAGAGCTTTGATGAGCTTAAGGGGCTTATTTCAAAAACTCTAACCAGCCTCAAACTTGTGAAGGGTAGTCTATATATTTCTGCTATAATGGTAGGGTGTTGAATTGCAGTTGCTAAGGTGTTCTGAGTGTTTTCCAGCATGTTGCTTTGCAGTTTCTAGGGCGGTTGGAGTGGGATGGTTGCTTATCAGCCCAAAAGAGTCAAAAGAGCCCACCCTCGAGTCCTTACGATAATCTAAAGTGTAGATTTGGCATCAAATATAAGACAATGAGATTATTTTATCATCCAACAATCAGAATTTGTTCATCTGGTTGCTTAAAGCCAACAGCACAGACTTCTGCAGAACAGCTCTTTATTCTTCCTTGTCGTTGCTCAGGCCACTGTCAGTATTAGATGTGATTTGCATTTGTCATCAGGGTTTAGTTAAATGAACTGGCTCCATGGGAGAAGTTATTTCACATCGCCTCCGCCATGCCAAACCTGCTTCAGGCCTACACAGACAATTCAATAATGAAAATGTCGCACTGGATTAAGAGGCAAACTCTGTCATGTTGAGTGGAGATCTTGTTTTCTTATCTAAGGTTCATATATCCAAAATGGCCATAACGAGATGGAGATTATGGGTAAACTGACCAGAGAAAGCCATTTTTGTCACTGTAATGGCTGATACTCAGTGCCAATACAGGGAAAGATTACTTTTTTAAATGAAAATGATCTCTTTTCTTGCAAATATATTTTGAGGTTGAATTTATATTGATTCGTTTTCACTGCACATGTTGCTTTTCATTCCATTTGGTTTTGCACATTGACCTCCCTGTTTCTCAGGAACCATTAAAAGGGCTCAGTGGAGATACAAACCTTGTGACTGCGGCTTCCTCTAGATCTGTTTTAGGAGTTTGGCTGTCGCTTGCTTTAAGATATTGATTAACAGATAGAAAAACTGAGAGGAGATGCTCAGGCTCCATTAATCCCAGATGTAATGAAGTAGAGCAGGTGTAATCAACGAGAATGTGCCGGAACAGTCCAATGTCCTGGGATCAGAAAGACAAACACGCTTCGGCTGTCTGCTTGACTGCATAGATGACATGCAATGCTGGGTGAATCGAATGAGAAAATAAAAATATTTTCATTATAGACTATCAATACATGTGAATTCTAGAGGAAAAATGTGCAAAACATTTAATTGTTCTAAAATAGGCTTGTTTGTATTTAAGCAAACTATAATTTCTTTGTGAGAGAATTGCATTATAATGTTTTATGTCTGTGTCAGGCTTTGGATGGGCAGAACATCTACAACGGCTGCTGCACTCTGCGTGTTGAATTCTCCAAGCTGACCAGTCTGAATGTGAAATACAACAACGACAAGAGCAGGGACTTCACACGTCTAGACCTACCCTCAGGGGACGGGCAGCCCACGCTGGACCCCAGCATGCAGACCGCTTTTGGTAAGACACATACACATACATACAGAAATATATGGGTGAGTGTTTCATTAGGGGAACCTTTGTCTCCTATTGATGATTTGAAACATATATTGTTCTAGTTTTAAAGAATAGATTTAATCAGCTTTAGATCTTTTATTTTATATATATTTTTATATATAGGTTAAATTAAATTGAAAGAAATTTCCCGAATTTATATATAATATATTTATGATGTTAAAATCAGGAAAATTCTACATTAAGTTTTTTCATCATATGTTGCAGTTATATTTTTAATAATTATATTTAATAAAATAATAATAGTAATAGTCACTTTCCTCAAAACTGCTGTCATGACCACTCAACGTTTTCTCCAAAAACTGAAATATATTATTACCATCACACATCATTACCGTCACACACAATAGCAAAAATTCACAGCATCCCATATAATACCAAAATTCACTTGCTCAAGGCCACATGATCAGATTCAGGACATGTGATAAATATTTTGACACATGAAATATGGTGTAAAGACATTTGAAGATATTTGAATTTAATATTTAAAATAGATTGGAGAATCTTCTCCAAGGAAGTTTTGTGGTGTCAGCATGTGTGTTGAAGCTGGTAGCGTATTAGATAAAAGAGACAACTTGTACCCAGATACAGACACTCACACACACACACACACACACACACACACCCCATCTGCTTTAGTCTGTGCTTTTCCTTTAGCTCTGAGAAATTTCTTGTCCCAAGCTAAAGGATGTCAGATTTAGGATGCTGCTTAAATGTCAATTTGGATCTTTGGTATGAAGACATTTTGCACGTTCAATTTTTGTTGAAAAATTTCCACTTTGATTATAGATTTCTCACCAGATCATTTCAGGTTTATTCTGGGTTAAAAACATCTTAAAGGAACAGTTCACCCAAAATGAAAATGTCCTGAAAATGTACTCCCCCTCAGGCTATTCAGGATGTACATGAGTTTGTTTCTTCATCAGATTTGGAGAAATGTAGCATTCCATCACTTGCTCACCAAAAGATCCTCTGCAGTGAATGGGTGCTGTCAGAATGAGAGTCCAAACAGCTGATAAAAACATCACAATAATCCACAAGTAATTCACACCACTCCAGTCCATCAGTTAATGTCTTGTGAAGTGAAAATCTGTGTTTGTAAGAAACAAATCCACCATTAAGACATTTTTTTTTTTACTTCAAGCTATTGTTTCTGGCTAAAATACGAGTCCTTTATCCACAATACTGGTTTTTCTAGTGAAAATATGTCTTATCTGAATCAGGAGAGAAATATGCCCAGATGAAGCACTGTTTATAAGTGAAAATTGTCCAAAACAGTTCTGAACAAATATGCAGGTGGATTTTGATGTGGGTGACAACAGAGGATGGGCTTTTTTACTGAAAGAGTTATTATGGATTGTGGACTAGTATTTTAGCCAGAAGTGACAGTTTTATGTTAAAACGCTTTAATGTAGAGAGTAAAACATCTCATACCTGTCAACACCCTACCTCTGTTCCCACTACTGAACTTCTCTCTTTATGCCATGCTCATAGCTTCTCTAATTTTGACTCTATTGTCCCCACAGAGGTTGATGAGATAATCAGGCTGTCTAATTCCTCTACTAGTCTTCTTGATCCTGCACCTACCTCTTTACTGAAGAAGTGCTTGCCTGCTTTGTCACTACCCATCACTCATTTTATTAATACGTCAATGTCATCTGGAACTGTACCATCAAAGCTTAAGATTGCTGCTGTCAGCCCTGGTTAAGGTTCTTAACGATCTTCTCTTAGCTTCTGATTCTGGTGCTCTCAGCACTCTCCTTCTGTTAGACCTCAGCTCAGCTTTTGACACTGTTTGTCATGAGATACTCCTCTCACGGCTTTCAGCAATTGGAATTACTGGCACAGCCCTCGAATGATTTTCCTCCTATTGGGGGAGGCAGCAATTTGTTATAAACCATAAACACAAATCATCTACCAAATCCATCAGTTCTTGTGTACCTCAAGGTTCTGTTTTGGGCCCTCTCCTCTTTACCATTTATATGCTACCAATTGGACAAATAATTAAACACTATGGGTTTAACTTCCACTGTTACGCAGATGACATTCTAATTTATTTTAGCGCAGCTTCCACCTCAGTGTTTCCTCCGCCTGCATTAACTAATTGCGTCAAGGAACTCAAGTTTTGGCTGGAGGCAAATTACCTTCAATTTAACTCTTGATAAAACTGAGGTAGTTCTGATTGGCTCTAAAGCTGTAGTATCTAAGCTCTCTGGTCAACTGATGGATCTGGATGGTGATCTGATTATGCCCTCCACTAAAGTTCGCAATCTTGGTGTTCTCATTGATTCCACTCTTTCATTCAATGATCACATTGGTAAAGTAGTAAAGACAGCTTTTTTCCACCTGCGTAATATCTTGCGTATTCGATCCTCTCTCAGACAGCAGGATGCTGAAACTGTTATACATGCCTTCCCTGACTTGTAAAGTGACCTTGGGTTTTGGAAAGGCGCTATATAAATAAAAATTATTATTATTATTATTATTATTAATGATGGATTTGTTTCTTCCAAACACACACAAGACATTAATTGTTAGACTGGAGTCATGTGGTTTACTTGTGGATTATTGTGATGTTTTTATCAGCTGTTTGGACTCTCATTCTGACGGCACGCATTCACTGCAGAGGATCCGTTGCTGAGCAAGTGATGACCCTATACTTTGTTGATATTCTAACTTGGAATATTCCATTCATTTTTGTGTGTGTGTGTACACTGACATTTTGTTTTTTTAATCAAACCTGTCCGTTTATCTAATAAACTTCATTTCCATTAGAAATAGCAGTGTAACACAGATATTTTCCTCACTTCCTCTTTACCTGGGCGATCCACGTGTGTTTTATTATAATGCTATCGGTTGGTTGCATGCACACTATCAAAGGGCACGCCTTATCGCAGATGCACACATAGTTCTGTGGGCTAGAGCGTTTGCAGGGTAGATTTATTGTGTGTGTGATTGTCAGAGGGGGCGGCAGATAACTGTGGCTGCCCATCCAAGCATCTTGTTGTCTCAGGCTCGGTAAATCACTCATGCTGTTTAGAGCGAGAGGCGGTGTGGATACTGATAAGGCCGGTGTGTATTCTTGTGTGTGTGTCTGTAAATCAGAGCTGATGAATTGTTTCTGGGTGCAGGCGGGAATCTCAGGGGCGCTCGATGACGTCTCCAGACGCATGTTAAAGCAATAAAAGGTGTTCAAATGGCAGCTTTTATTAGACCACTGCCATTTTTTCGGTCTTCTTCCGCAAACACCCCTCATGAAAATGTTTTATTGTTGTCGGTAGGACTGTTTTGAAATGTACGTACACTGCTTGTTCTGAGCTCTGTGGTGGTTTACATCTCAATAGGCTGAATAAATCCATTTTAAACAATGGTGTCACACTTAAGCTGGTCCCTTCTGGGAATTCGAGATATTACATGGGCAAATTGTGAATTACATGAACGTGCATGTCTCAGCAAGCCATAGTCAGCTTAAAATTATAGGATGATAATAAAACTGTGATGATATAGGGAGTACAGGACAAATGTATGTGCGCCTCTTTTATAGATTGTGCTGTTATACTGTTAATATAATTTATGTAAGGCTCTCACAGGGTTAGTGATTTTATATTTTCTTTTATAAAGCAAATTTATTGAGTGGGTCAATGACAATTCTGCAGAAAAAGGAAAGAAAATTAAAAAATATTTAAATCTAGTTTAAAACACATGTGCCAACTTAGAGTTAATTAACGTATTTGTGTTCATTTTGGTTTTGAACTAATTTTCTACCCATTAAAAAAAAAAAAGTAAAAATTTCATGACTCAATGCAAAGTAATAATGTATTGCTCTTGCATCTTGAATAAATTGTTATTATTGTCACTATTATTATTATTTGGGTAAAAATGTATTAATTCATAAATATTATTACATTTGTGTGAGTTGCATCACATGACAAAATGCATTAACAAACTAGCCATCTCATAAACGGTCAAAAAATATCTGAAATTTTATTTTATTTGTTAATATTTGTTTTGCTTTTCATAGCAGAGAACCCATTGATAACAATGAACAATATATTTACAATATTATATATGTCAGAAATAGTGCTGTCAAACGATTAATAATATTATACATAGCGCTGTCAAACGATTAATCATTTGACAGCACTACTCAGAAATGAATCCTCAATCCATCATGCTTAAAAATACTGTTGGATTTGATGCAGTCTTATGTGACATACATAAAAATTACATCAAATAATCAGGTAGTATCATGGATATACACGGATTTAATATGT